GTCTGATCTGGTGGGGAAAGACGACATAAATGGGGTGGATATGGGTCCGTTGATTTTGAGGAGACAGAGAGATTTAGATATATAGGGGTGGGGGTGGCTGGGTTCGTCAGAGGGGCCGGATAAGTTCCTTTTTATTATTATAATTTTTTACTATTATTTAATAAGGTGTAGTTTTTTTCTTTAAAATTGCGAATGTGCCCTTAATATTGACAAAATTTTGATGGACATTCAAAAAGTAAACGACACGTCGTACCATATTTCACATATTTGAAGTCCTTAATTTACCGAGAAAAAAAGTTTATAGAATAAATTGATAATTATAGTGTAATTCACAGGGTAGAAGGATAGATAACTCTTGTTAAAATCTCACATGCTTTCTTTACGTACCTGAAAATCAAATGGACTGAGGAAAGGCAAATAATCACCAATGTTGACTGCCCCTGTCAACAACATGATCTCCTCAATAATTCCCTTCACATCAAACGTATCATCATTTTTGCTCCCCAACACCATCCTATACGTTATGCCCTCAATCAGCTCACCAACCTTCTCACTAAGATCCACAACTTGGCCCTCCGCTGCGGCTTTCTTCAGCGACTCAACCAACAAACCCACCTCTTCCCTCCTCAATGGAGCAAAAGCCTCAATCTTTGATGGACAAAGAAGCTGCAGCGTGCACAACTTCCTAATATGCCGCCAGTACGGACCATATTCACTGAAACCCATGCCCTTTGTGCCGTACGACAAGTAGTCGGAGGATTGGACTTTGGGGCGGCTGGCAAAAATGGTGTCATGGGTTTTCAAGAATAACTCTGCAGCTTCAGGGGATGAGACTGTTGTGAAAATGGACAAAACACTTTCACTCACTCCCCTAATGATCTTGTTGTTGATGGACTTTGTGACACACACAATGATGGATGAATCACACACACACACTTGAGACAACAACCAAGCACAAAGTGACACAAGAATTTATAGAGGTTCAGCAATTGCCTACATCCTCTTGGTGATCCCCTTGAGAAATTCACTTCATGAAAGAATAAGTTACAACTTTGGTTTTACACAGAAAAACCCCCTTAGAACTCTATTCTCTCCCCAAGCTCTCTTTCCTCTCACACCCCTTGCTCAACACTTTGATGCACTTGTGAACACTCTCACAACCCTTGGTGTTTCCCTCCTTGGTGTCTAGACTCTCAAGACCCCAACTCAGCTCCTAACTTGAACTGATTGCTCTCCCTCACGTTCTCCCTTGGTGAGTTAACCTCCTTTGAACACAATAGCACCCAGCTACTTGACCACCTTGAGATTAACCACACATAACTTCAACTTGCTTTCTCATCTTATAATGTCTTGCTTTACATCCCATTACTTACACAGACCAATGGACATAAGATAAGGCACCATCTTGTCTTCCACGTTCCTTCTTTAGTCACCCACTTAGACTAAAGATCAGATTATGTAAGTAATCAAATCCCACTTCAGCCACCTTCCACTAAACCAGAAAATGGAGAGTGAATCCTTCAAAGCAAGACAAGAGAATGGATTCTCCAAACCAAGACAACCAATTGGCAATGAGTGCTCTCCCAACTATACAGCAGGTAGTCCACCTTCTTTTACCTCAGAAGTGACCCATTAAACACCTGCAATCTTGTGGAAAGCGATAGCCACCGAAAAAGTAGTTGAAAACACGTAAGGAAAACATCAGCACAGCACAGGGGCGACCGGTCGCTGATACCTTGCGACCGGTCGCTACGACCATTTGGATACATAGCGACCGGTCGCTGATACCTTGCGATCGGTCACTTCCTGCGAATTTTTCAGACTTCGACTCTGCTTCTAAACGACCGGTCGCCCAAACCTTGCGACCGGTCGCTCACTCCTTCGCTTGCATACTAAATGTGAGCCAATTTTACAACAGAGACCACTATTGTGGTTTTGGTGCCTAGACGCATGGACATTATGGGTCCATATTTTTTGGCCAAGTCTCGGAGGCTGCGGTGTGGGAGGTTGCCTAGCATATGGAGATTACCAATGACTGGCAGCGCCCAAGGACCAGGAGGCAGTTTTCGGTGTCTCGGCCTCTGGATGAGAAACCAGAGGAAGGCAAGAAAGATGAGGATGATGGCTATTGCTGAAGCAGTCATAGTTAGACTGATAGGAGGTGTGACAGACATTATTCGTGGACATATATTTGCTCATACTTAGACTTATAGGAGGTGTTTGATATTTGTACAGCCGGATGACCACCCAATGTTTTGAAAAATGGGTTGTTTTTTGTTTTTTTGTATGCGCCGTTGGATTTCATCCAAAGAGACGGCTGAGTTTAACTTGACCCAAATATGCCAAATGGGGTCAAATAATGCAGCTGAAGACCAAGTGCAAGTGTACTTATTTAGCATATATGCAAAGTCAAATTCTTATGAAGGTAGGAGAAGAGTTTTAAAGAGGAATGAATGCTTGAAGAGTTGTAGCAGAATGGGTGGGTTGAATGACGCCAGTCATTGTAATTGTGATGTAGCAAGTATGCCGCCACGCGTGATCCTAGAACGAAAAGAGATCTAAACAGTAAGAAATTGATGTTTATTTTATCCTATATTGAGGGATTCTTCAAATAATTTTATTTGAGATACGTACTTTAAGCCATACAAGAGTGTCCCTCAAATAAGCTTATTTGAGGAATTCCTCAATGAAGCTCTATATATATATCAAGCTCTTAATACATTTCGTTAATCCACTCCTTCTAAGTAAGAGTTTAAGGGAATATAATTAAGCATATCAATTACAAATAGATGAATGTCTTTGAAGTCTGATCTGAACTATGAAAGTTGATTGGATAGGCGGTAGGTGGGCATGGCAAACAAGTGTATGGCTTTTGACAGCGACAATCCGAATTTCTCAGTCATGTCCAAATCTTTAGGTTTCAGGCCACTTGGGAGGTCCCAGTTAAAGCAGTGGACCAAGTTTGCTAGAGCCAGACGAACTGTGGTTAGGCCTAGTTGCATAGCAGGACACCCTCTTCGACCAGACCCAAATGGTAGAAGCTGGAAGTCATGCCCTCGAAGATCAATATTGCCATCAATGAACCTTTCAGGGTAAAATTCTTCCACATTTTCTGACCATACTTTAGGATCTCTCCCAATGGCCCAAGTGTTTATAAAGATTCTCGATTTCTTGGGTATGTCGAATCCTTCAACTGTAATGTCCTCCATGGATTCATGTGGGATTAGCAATGGTGCAACTGGGTGCAGCCTCAAGCTCTCCTTGACCACCATGCTCAAGTAACCCAACTTCGGCAAGTCACTCTCTTCCACCATTCGGTCCATTCCAATCACACTCTGGAGCTCTTGCTGGAGATGCTTCATTACCCTGGGATGCCTCAAGAGCTCCACAAGGGTCCAAACTATGGCGGTAGCTGAAGTATCGAAGGCACCCGAAATCATGTCTAGTAAGATGGCTTTCACATTTGTCCGTTCCATCATGTAGACCTGCTCATCGTTGGGATTTAATGGTTGGTGTATCAATGAAAGCAGCACGTCCACAAAGTCCTTGTGACTACGGCCTTGTACTTGCCCACTCTTAGAAACTTGTTCATGTTCCCCGATTATCTTTTCGAAAAGTTGGTCAATTGTCCTGCTAATTCTCTTCATGCGCTTGGCTAATCCCTATATGATAGGAAGATACGGTTAAGATATATAATATTTCTTAGGATCAATGATACAGTAAAATTGCTGCGCCTCGAGCATAACATAGAAAAGAAAAGAAGTTTCCAAAGATTTCTTAACAATCTGATTTGTTGGTTCCTCCAATCAGCTTTCAGATATCTTTTTTTTTTTTTTTGGTAATAGCAAGTGAGCAACCACTCCGAGTCGTAGACCTGAACGGATTTGACTCTCCCCAGGGGGTGTTTTTCACAAGGTGGGATTCGAACGCTGGACCTCACTGAGGCCAGCTAACATTCGCCCAGCTTTCAGATATCTTTAGCAAAGGGCTCTCTACTCATCTTTTCTCCTCCTTTCATCCCCATCAGCTTGAGGGGGCATATTAGAGACAGAGCACGTGATATCCCATTATTCTAGGGGAACAATATCTCATATTTTAATGCATAGATTTAGGGATATGTTATATAGGAATATGTGAGAATATGTGCTCAAGACTTTGTATAAATATTTGTTATTGTGAATACAGCATCATCGAAGTTTTCTCACTATTCTTCTTCACAAAGCATTTCCCAATTGTTTACGCCAGTACAACTGGAGCTCATCATTGCACTACCTGGCCATATATAATTTTCATCATATATAATTTTTACGTATTATAATATGAATACTACCTGGCCGGCCGGCCAAACCTGATTGGAGCCATATGCATATGAACCTTGCCATTAACGAAAATAATTAATATAATGTGAGAAGGATATGGCCAATCTTTCATTTATTTAATATTATTTGTGATTTAGGGTGCATGTGTGTTACAGGAAAATGGCGACGAAAGTGAGCTCATTCCAAAAGCTACGCGTTGAGAATTGACAATTAGTAATTGAAAAAGTCCTGAAATCTTTTTTACTTTACTTCGTTGACACTAATGATCTATAATCTAACAGTGCATTATTAATTCATGTAATAATAATAATTAAGTTTGGTAAGGATATGTAAAGCACACCTGAAGATCAAGTGGACTGAGGAAGGGGACGTAATCACCAATATTGAATGCGCCTGCCAAGAACAGGGTTTCCTCAACAGTCCCCTTGAGATCAAACATATCATCATTTTTTCTCCCCAAAACCATCCTATATGTTATGTCCTCAACAAGCCCACCAACCTTCTCACTAAGATCCACCACTTCACCCGCCGCTGCGGCTTTCTTCAGTGACCGAACAAACAACCCCACCTCCTCCCATCTCAGTGGAGCAAAACCCTCAATCTTTGATGGACAAAGAAGCTGCAGAGTGCATAGCTTCCTAATATGCCGCCAGTATGGACCATATTCAGTGAAGGCCATGCCCTTTGTGCCGTAGGACATGTACTCGGAGGCTTGGACTTTGGGGCGGCTGGCAAAAATGGTGTCATGGGTTTTCAAGAAAAGCTCTGCAGCTGTGGGGGAGGAGACCACTATGGCGGGTATGTTGCCTAGGCGCATGGACATGATGGGGCCATATTTTTTCGCCAAGTGTTGGAGGCTGCGGTGTGGGAGGTTGCCTAGCATGTGAAGATTGCCAATGATTGGCAGTGCCCGAGGCCCAGGAGGCAGTTTTGGCCTTGAGGAGGAGGCAGTGATTATGGTGTGGATGAGAGAGCAGAGGAAGGTCAGAAAGACCAGAAGGATGGCTATTATTGTTGGACTCATTCTAGCTTTCTGGGTGTGGATGAGAGAGCAGAGGAAGGTCAGACCAGAAGGATGGCTATTATTATTGAGAGATGGGGCATTTGCTCATCCACTCTCATACAAAGTGTTTGATATTTATTTATAGGCTAAATTATTGAAATGCCCCTGTAACTCAATTTCAATCTTAGTTTCCCCCCTGAAACTCTAAGTGTCTCACTTTCCCCCCTGAAACTCCATATATTGTCTCACTTTGCCTATATTCCATCCGGCCCTAATAGAAGTCGTCAAATCTTAACCCCCCAAAAACAACCTTCCCTTACAAATTCAGATACTCTCTGAATCTGCAACTACACTCAGACTCATTTGCAAAACCAAACCCCTCTCCAAACTCCAAGAAACGAAGAACAACCTCCAACAATGGCGGCAACCCAACTCCTTTTCTCTCTCATCGTCCTCTCAGTTCTCTCTCTCTCTCCTCCGCCCTCCCCACCCAAACCCTCGTCAACGCCGTCGAAATCCTCTCAGATTTCGGCTACACCTCCATGGCTTTGACCCTCGACCTCGCCTCTCAAACCCTCCTCCTCTCCCAGTCTCCTTCTCTCACCATCTTCGCCCCCACCAACGCCGCCTTCTCTCACTCCGGTCAACCACCGCTGAACCCCCTGCAATTCTACATCATCCCCCTTTATTTCTCTCTCCGATCCCTCAAGTCCCTGCCTTTCAGCGCCAAGATCACAACTTTACTCTCTGACCGCTCTCTCTCCGTCACCACTTTGGCCTATGACCCCAGAGTCTCACTCAACAACGTCCCCATCATTGTTTCCCCATCATTGCCATCATTGTTTCCCCAATTTTTGACTTCTGCTAGGGCTGGATGGAATATAGGCAAAGTGAGACAATATATGGAGTTTCAGGGGGGAAAGTGAGACACTTAGAGTTTCAAGGGGGAAACTGAGACTGAAATTGAGTTACAGGGGGCATTTTAATAATTTAGCCTTTATTTATACAGCTCCAACCGCCGTAGCCAAACAGCATTACTCTTTTAGAATTAGCCATTGGATCTCATCCAGACAGATTCGACGGCTGAGTTTAACTCGACTAAAGTACACCAAATGGGGTCAATACACAGCTATTGACCATGGCCCGCCTTGAGATTTTGACAGCCTCACACGCAAAATTTTGGCCCGTCTTTAGATTTTTAAGTAGCAAACCAACTTTTTTGGATGAATCCAAGGTATCCCCCGTACGTAGGCGAGGACTAATCCCTCGAGCCGGGTCGGACCCCCTTCGGGGGGCAAGCTCTCTCAATGATGGCTGCTCCATTCACAAGGCTCGAACTTGAGACCTTGCTTAAGGAACTTTACTAGACGCAAAATTATGAAAATTGCGTGCCGTGATACCAAGTACACACCCTCGTTGCTAGCCTTTTGCTTTTCACTTGATCTCGCTCGATTATGGAATGACATTTCTTTTGTTTTTCAAAGAACCTAACCAGTAAGTAGTAACACCATGTCTATGTAAATTAGTAGCCAATGGGGTCTAGTCCAGTGAAAAAGAGCTTTGACTTGCAGAGGTCTCAGATTCGAATTCCTACATCATTATAATTTGTGTGTGTGAGAAATCCATTTCCTATAATTTAAACTATCACTTGTATTAAAAAAGAAAAAGAAAACTAGTAACATTATGCACAAAAAAACATGCAAAACAACAATTTATTTCCATGTAAAAGAGTAAAATTGCAATGAATTTCTTATGATTATCTTTATCTTCTTGAATTAAGGTACCAAGTTTCTCATAAAATTTAAATTTGGCATGTAACAAA